TTAGTAAACTAAACGCATCATAAAAGATATAGAACAACACTATATAAAATTTACCTCTAACTTTTATAAAATAAGGAACTTTATTAAGTGACAAAATAATTCACAATTCCATGCAACCTCACTTGTATCGTGCATGCCAACTATTTTGAAGAAAAATAAAATAACAAAAAAAGAGATAAAGAATAGGAAGGAGAAGGACAGCATATGTCTAGGCTACGTTTAGTTTAAATAAATATATATATTCTACTTCCTTTCTTTCTCATTATTTGTTACCAAACAATGCATGATTAGTGTGTTTGACTAGTTGTGTAGTAGATACCCCCGCTATGCTCACTTTCTAACTATTACATAATTGAATAATTGCTTTTCCCTCGTCCAAAAGCTTGTTGTCAGTGACCGACACCAAGTCAATCACAATTGCAAAAATAGATAACTTTACATTGCTTTAGGTTAAAAGTGTTTACCTGGAGTCCTTAGACTCTTATTTATAGATCACCTTTCTAGGCTTGGCCTTTTGAACTCCTCCAATTACAGTAGGATTTAACTCCCTTCCTGTTGGGATGTGATTCCTATCTTGTGCCTCTTAGCTGTTTAGAGCGTTGAGATATTTATAACTCTATCTCTTAGTAGATTCTTAAATGAGTAGTTGAGATATGATATTCATATCCATAAGAGGTCATTTCCCATTAATGTTTTTTGTGAGTCAAGAACAGCGTTGATTAAGGGAACAACCAATTAATGTTATAGATCCGTTCCTTGTTTTGTTACCCACCGAATCAAGGGAGCTGTCAAAAAAATTAAAATCAAGTTCAACAGTATCTTTGGTTGTTTGTTTAATATTTGGATTCTTAAATTCAATTCGGTTGAGTAGAATTAAAAATTAATCCTTTTAAAATCAGTTTTTTTTTTTAATTTTCAAAACCTAAACCAAATACCTAATCTAAATACAAAAAAAATGTGTTATTTCAAGAATGACATATTTTATTATTTAATTGTTTATAAAATTGAAAATATAAATTAATTTTGGAAAATTATCATATCCATCGATTAAATTTACTGATCAAAGACGCAAGGCAATTGGCTGTTATCGAGCTGTAAAATGTACATCTAGCTGTAATGTTGTTCCCGTGCTTGCTTTTAAAAATGATTTGCAATTTTTTATGGGGTTTAATTTTCTCATGTTGCATGAGAATTCAATTCTCATTGTTGTGACTCAACCAGTGGTGAGTCCCACATTTATTAAAAAAAGAAAAAGAAAAGAAAAAATTTGCACGCAAATCGAAAGGTCACAACATGAGAATTGAATTCTCATGCAACATGAGAAAATATTTTCCTATTTTTTATATACATGTTTTGTTAGTTTTGAATTTTTAATTATAATATCCTTAATCAAATGATATAATTTAATTGAAATAATTGAAAAAGTTAAAATAAAAATTGATGCAAAAAAGTGAATAAATAGTCGAAAGTACTAATATCTACAACTACGTGTTCAATATTTAAATCGTGGATTTCAATTCAATGTCGTTTAGCGTTGCTGTTGTCGCATCAGTCCAATACTTGCCTAATTATCAGTGGCATGCGTTGAGATGAAGGTGGTGAAAGTGAGAGTGTCACATGATATGTTCCTCTTATTGCGTGTTTGCTGAATTTTTTATATCTTGTATAAGGTGGTGGTTCTTTACTGGCCAGGCAGATATCATTGCGTGCAATGTTAAATGTTCTTGAAATATTACTTTAATAGATTTTCAACTGTATAAAAAGTATTACAAAAAGTTTAAAACTCTAAAAAGTCAAAACATATGTCTTTTTTTAAAAGAAAAAAAGAAAAAGAAAAGTAAGTTGAAGAAAAGAGAAGTTATGCTGGATTACATTATATCATGATGAATTTAAATACTATAGTAAAAAATGCACCTAAACTTTTCAAGTCAATATTTTTTTTTTCAATTTTGTTTCTCACTATATATCTTAATTCCTTAAGGGATAAATACTCAAACTGAGTTAATTAATTGTGAAATTAAATTAACCTCTTAGGGTAACTTGAGTTTTTTTTTTTGCTTTAAATACATTTGAAATTCTATTTTAAGAACGGATTTGGATCTTCTTACATGAAAAAATGATCATGTAATCATATTATTTGATCACGTAATCATATTATTTGATCACAATCATTCATTGATGATGAGATAAGAGAGAGAAAATTATATGAATTTAAATGAATGATTATGATCAAATAATATAATCACATAATTACTTTTTCACATGAGAGAATTCAAATCCTGAATAACACTTAATTGTCAAGTGTCACTCACGTTTAATGTCGTGATGACATAAATCAAGTGCCAAAATTTATTGGCGTATGTCTTTTTGCTTTTTTGTTCTTTAAAGTAAATGGGAAATGTTTAGGAAGATTTATAATTTCTCAATCATTATTAGTATCCTTGGAGTTTTGTGCCGTCTCTCTCCAATCATACGTCCTTTGTCTCCCAACAGTACACAAATAAACGAGCTACGTATGAATGATTTTAATTTTTGGGCCTATTATTGACTTTGAGAGTATAAATTTTTTTTTCATCGAATATATTTGGGAAATAAATTTCCTATCTAGTTTAGGCCTTTACATGTGGTGGGTGAGGCAAACTTGCTATCTCAAAAAATGATATATATATATATATATAGAGAGGTATGATCCTTTGACACTAATGTCAAATTTGAAGTTTGACACCTCATCTGAGAGCCATTAGATCAAAAAAGATCAATGGTGTCACATGCTTACAAATAAGAGTCGTTGATCTTTTTTGATCTAACGACTCTCAAATGAGGTGTCAAACTTTAAATTTGACACCAATGTCAAAGGATCCTACCTCATATATATATATATATATATATATATATATATATATATATATATATATATATATATATATATATATAGTCATGTGACGGCACTTGCATTACACAAATTCCACTTACATCATTTTTTCAATTAATTTATCATCAATTGATTCTAACCAAAATTGATTCTAATTCTCTATTAATAGAGAGATAAAAAAATCATACAAAATACAAATTAATGGAGAGAAACAAATTTAAGGACATTGAATACTGAATTTCCTAGTAAAATAGTCTTGAATTCAAGTTCGATCCAAGAGTCATTTAAAAATCTTGCAAAATAATATGTTCCATATAAAAGCTTCTCCCATATCTTCTTCTTAACAATTATTAGTTAATATGTATTCATATATTAATTGGTTTCTCATTCTCTTTCTTCAGGCCAAAAAGTAAAAAAATCGTTAGTCAGAGTTACAATTTTAAAATCAAATAGAATTAATTTTGCAATTTTAATGACGAATTAAGTTGGAATCAATTTGTTTACCAAAAAAAAAGTTGGAATCAATTAGACAACAAGGAATTTGTTTCCCAAATACACCCAATCAAATTTTTTTTGTAGGATTTGTCAAAAAGCCTAAATTTTAGGTTTATGTTTCACAGTTGCGAAATGTAGCGTCTCTTCTCTTTATTTACACAGATTCTAATTAATTGTTTCAGAAGAGTTAACTACCTCTATTCTTACAAGTTTTAACTCTTTGAGTTGACTATGAAATCAACTCCGGCTTAGCTTCACCCTCCCCCTAAAAATATATTTGATAGAATCAAATACAGATTCTCTTTCCAGTCTGTTCAGTTGTCAAATAAGCTACATCCAGTCTCTTCTCTTTCTACAAAAGTTCAACATGCGAACTTGTATTTTTTTGTTTTTTATTGCAAAATTAAAAAGATTAAATTTTAGTGAATTTCATGCATATATCTTCCCTTAAGCCATTTAAAAGTAATTTCAATAACTTTTTTCGTTACATATATATCTCTACAACAAAATTAAAATCCCCCCTCTCTATATATATTAACATTAACATCAACTTCCAGTCACTTGAGATAAATTTGTCTTAAAGTATCCCTTTTAATTATGTATTATGAGTAGTACATAGTTATAATATTAAAGTTATTTTTTTCTCTACGTCAGCAGACAAATATGAAAAGTGACTGAGGAGAAAGAAATAAAAAAGCAAACTTAATGCTATAACTATATACTATCCATAGTACATAGTTAAAGAGGTAGTTTGAGATAAACTTATCTCAAGTGGTTGGATAAATGTTAACTATATATATATGGATAAATGTTAACTATATATATATATATATATATATATATATATATGAGAAAAATATTTCTCAAGCTGCTTGAGATATATTTATCTCCGGCCATCCCAAAATTATGTTGTCTTGTTTATTTATTCTTATATTAATTGATTCACCTTTGAATGATTATGATTCCTTTTTCTCTCTCTTCTTTTATCACCATAGATCCATCTTTGTACGGTTATGATTTAGTGACTGGAGAAAAAAATATCTCAAGCAGCTTAACAAACGATAAGCCATATATATATATATATATATATATATATATATATATATATATATGGAGAGGGTTATATTTACAAATTTTTTGTTTACAAACTACGCTATGTACTCCGCAGAAATATATTATGTTACACTATGTACTTACGGGAGTACATAGATGTTTCCCATATATGGGAATAACATCTGTCATTTTAAAGGATAGAATTTTATATTATTTTAGATCCTAACCGTTGATTTCTGTCCATCAACAGCTATAATTTATTGAATCAAAATTATTAATTAATTAATAATAAATTTGGCCTATTAAGTTTGACCCAATAGATTATAATTGTTGATGGACGGAAATCAACGGTTAGGATCTAAAATGATATAAAGTTATATCTTTTAAAATGATAGATGTTTTTTCCCGTGTGTGTATATATATATATATATATATATAGAGAGAGAGAGAGAGAGAGAGGTATGTATGTATACGTATAAAGCAAAAGCCAGCACACAGGAGCTCACAGAGGAGCAAATGGGAGTGGAAAAAGAGACCTGAAATTGTTTGAGTCAGTGTTTCAGACAAAAAAAGGAACAAAATGGGAGGAGCTTCTGCAGATCTTCATCATCATGAATCGGATATAGAACTCACTGGTGCTGCAAGGGTTGCCATGAACAGCACTAACGCTGGCAGTGATGTTGGACATAGTAGTGGCACCAAATCCCAGAATGGAGATGAAGCACACTATGTTGAGGTCACCATGGATGTTCAAGGTGACTCTGTTGCCTTACATAGCGTTAAAAATGTTGCAGGTGGTGATGACATCGGAGGAGATGAGAAATTGAGTTTGATGGGGAAAAGGCTTGAGAAGAAAACCTCGTTTGGTGCCTCTGTTGTTCAGAATGCTTCCCTTCGCATGAAGCAGCTGAAGCGTTTGACATCATTTTCAAAACCATCACCATCAAAACAATATGATAGGACTAAGTCTGCAGTGTCTCATGCTCTTACGGGACTCAAGTTTATCAGCAAAACCGATGGTGGTGCAGGATGGGGTGAGGTTGAGAAGCAGTTTGACAAGCTTACTGCTACAACTGATGGCTATCTTCCTCGTGCTCTCTTTGCCAAATGCGTAGGTATTATTAAAATCCCAGATTCCTTACCATCTTGCTTTAAATGGTATTGGTAGCTATATTGAATATAGAGTAATTTTTTAAGTATATATATCCTTGGATTTGATTTTAGGAATGAACAAGGAGTCTGAGGCGTATGCAGAGAAGCTGTTTGATACTCTTGCTCGGCAGAGAGGTATTCAGGGGGGTTCTATTAACAAGATCCAGCTAAGGGACTTCTGGGACCATATTTCTGACCAGAGCTTTGATTCTAGGCTCAAGACATTCTTTGACATGTAATTCATTCTTTTTTTGGTTGTTATAAACATGAATAATTTGTTGAAATGGCTTGTAAGTATATCTCACCCAAGATTAATTTGGAATGCAGGGTTGACAAAGACGCAGATGGCAGAATCAGTGAGGAAGAAATTAAAGAGGTATGACATCATTAGTTCACCATTAATGAATCTGAATATGAGCTGCACAGAACTTTACTTTCTAAGTTTCTTCAACAGTCAAAAATTAATATAAAAAAGTAGTTTTAACAGCAAATTTTGTTAGTCTGCATTTCCCCCCTCAGCAGATTATGATTTTCCTCGATCATTTGTAATCAATTATGCTTTCAGATTATATGCCTAAGCGCCACAGCCAACAAACTGTCAAACATCCAGAAACAAGCAGAGGAATATGCGGCTCTGATCATGGAAGAACTAGACCCTGATGAGGCAGGATATATCATGGTAAATGACAGAGCCTACCCTATAGTCTCCAGATGGGAATGACTCTATTCACTATTATAGAATTCTCACCTTAGCCGAACCTCTTTAAACGTTTGGCCATTTTTTATTGGGAAAAAACAGATAGACAACTTGGAGATGCTTTTATTACATGGACCTGAAGAAACTACAAGAGGAGATAGTAAGTACCTGAGCCAAATGCTAAGCCAAAAGCTTACGCCTACATTTGTGGAAAATCCTATTAGTAGGTGGTATACAGATACCAAGTACTTCTTGCAGGACAATTGGCAAAGAGTTTGGGTACTTGCACTGTGGATTTGTGTGATGTTAGGTTTATTTGCCTACAAATTCGTGCAATATCGGAGAAGAGCTGCCTATGAGGTGATGGGCCATTGTGTATGCATGGCAAAAGGTGCAGCTGAGACACTTAAATTGAACATGGCTCTTATCTTGTTACCTGTTTGCCGAAACACCATCACCTGGCTCAGGAATAGGACCAAGCTAGGCGGAGTAGTTCCTTTTGATGACAACCTCAACTTTCACAAGGTAATTTTTACTTCTGCTCGTTCCTTCGAGAGTAACAATAAAATAAAGTATATCTAATTTATTCATGTGTTTGTTGGGTTATAGCAGCTTTCACAAATCAACAAGGCATATAAAATTTTACAGTAGTAAACAAATGTGAGTACTTTTGCAGGTGATAGCTGTGGCAATAGCAATTGGTGTTGGTATACATGCTATTTATCATCTTACTTGTGATTTTCCTCGCCTTCTTCATGCAAGCAATGAAAAGTACAAGCTCATGAAACCTTTTTTCGGAGATAAACCATCAAATTATTGGCATTTTGTCAAATCATGGGAAGGAGTAACTGGGATTATAATGGTTGTGCTAATGGCAATAGCCTTTACTCTGGCCAATCCTAGATTCAGGAGAGGCCGGGCCAAACTACCTAAACCCTTCGACAAACTCACAGGTTTCAATGCCTTTTGGTATTCCCATCACCTCTTCATCTTTGTCTATGCCCTGCTGGTTGTGCATGGAATCAAACTTTACTTGACTAGGGATTGGTACAAGAAAACGGTTAGTGCCTTCAGTTAACCCTTTTGTCTATTTATCTAGTTGTTTTGAGCAGAAAAATAATCGATTACAGGCACTTAATATTACGTGTTTTTGTAGACCTGGATGTATCTGGCTATTCCCATCACCCTTTATGTGTTGGAAAGACTGAATAGAGCATTCAGATCGAGCAAGAGTACTGTGAGAATATTAAAGGTAACTACCAAATAATCAAAATTCAATTATTTACTTCATGAAGAAACATATGGTTACGTCATAATTACTTTTGGCTAAGCTTAGAAAGTATGATACATGTATAAATATCGAAATGCACGTCTCATCACATTTTCACTGACAAATTTGAAGGTGGCTGTTTATCCTGGAAATGTGTTAGCACTTAATATGTCAAAGCCTCAGGGGTTTAGCTACAAGAGTGGACAATACATGTTTGTCAAATGTTCTGCCGTGTCTCCATTTGAATGGTATGCATTTGAAGAAACATCTTCTATAAGAGATGTTGCATCTAAATACCATTGTATAACCCTCAAGGCTCATGGGCCACCTCCCCTTTGCCATTATATCTAATTCCCACACTGTTGTTCATTGTTTATGCATTTACAGGCATCCATTTTCCATAACTTCCGCTCCTGATGATGATTACCTTAGCGTTCACATTAAAATACTTGGAGATTGGACTCGAAGTCTGAAAGCCACATTCTCAAAGGTGAATCAATCTTTATTTTTTTAATTATTAAGGTGTGGGTTTCTCGTAATTAACAAGTCTATTGCTTTGGTTTCTTTTAGGCATGTCAGCCACCCCTCAATGGGCAGAGTGGACTTCTAAGAGCTGAATGCTTGAACGGAAATAACAGCCCAAGGTAAATATGTGATGGATAGCTAACAAGTAAAAACTATAGTTTGTCATTCACAACTTAAGTTGGAGGTAATCTAGAATGGGTTGTATCAATTCCACCAATTACTTTAATCAAAATAAAATAAAACTAAATAAATGTTAGTATACTTTAATTTGTTAATACTAATTATTTATTAATAAAAATTTCACACTATTTGAATTTGACTACTTATTAATTGGACTAGCAAATATCTTTTGAATTGCATAGGTATTTTTAGATTTAGATAAAAATATAATTATTAATTAAAATAAAAATATTTAAAATTATAAAAGATATATGCATAATTGATTGAAGGAAGAAAATAAAAAATATATACTAAAAGAAAAACATAATTAACAATAGCTTGTTTAAAATTATTTATACCAAATCCACCAGACGGTACTTGTTTGTTTGTGCATGTTGGTTTGGGTGTCAATAATAGCTACCGAGATTCTTAGGGCACCTTCGCACATGTATATGATTTATAATCAAATTATTATTGTCACGTTGTACTAAAAAAATGATTATTGTCACGCGGGGGGAAAAGAGTGGTTGTTATCTGGACTTTGAAAAAAATAATAAAAAAAATCAGGGCGACTAGGACGTCTTTTGAAATGTCCACATGCAAGCCTAGTGCAAGCATTTAAAAAATTAGTCAGTGTTCATATGATATTAAAATAACACGTAACCTTGTAACAAAAAAAAATAAAAAAATCTCGTAAGTTGTGAGGATTGGTACGAATCATTCTTGAAGGATGTCGATTTCCTCTTCCCTACATACTAACGGCGGCTTTTTAAGAATTTATGTTTTAGTTTTCTGACAAAAAGGATTGTTTACTATGATAATGATATGCAGTACATTTCCTAAAGTTCTGGTTGATGGTCCGTATGGAGCGCCAGCACAAGATTACAAGCAGTATGAGGTGGTTTTGCTAGTGGGGCTGGGGATTGGGGCTACCCCTATGATTAGTATACTAAAGGACGTGGTGAATAATCTTAAGGCCATGGAAGAGGAGGAGGGGGCTGCAATAGAGGACGGGTTAAGTGTTGCTAAATCACTAACGACAACCCATCAAAAAAGCGCCAAGTTCAGCGACTTCAAGACAAGGAGGGCATACTTCTACTGGGTGACTAGAGAGCAGAATTCCTTTGATTGGTTTAAAGGGGTGATGAACGAGGTAGCCGAAGAGGACCGCAAGGGAGTCATTGAGCTACATAGCTACTGCACCAGCGTCTACGAAGAGGGTGACGCTCGCTCTGCCCTTATTGCTATGTTACAGTCTATAAACCATGCAAAGAATGGCGTCGACATCGTCTCTGGCACACGCGTCATGTCTCACTTTGCCAAACCCAATTGGCGCAGTGTCTACAAGCGCATTGCGCTTAATCATCCACAAGGCCGAGTTGGTGAGTTCCCACTTTTTTAATTGACATTGCTTTTGTTTCTTTCTTTCAACAACTCCAAGTTAAAACACATCAATAATTGCTGATCCATGATGATATATAGTTTTTTTTTTCAAAGATTCCTACGGTCAGTCCCTAGTGAAGGTGCTTTCGATCAATATCAATCATTTATTATATTTGACGTGTTTCATAAAATTTAAAGCTCATCATCTCATTGCAAGAGATAAAGATAAGCATGCTTTACGTAATGCAGGGGTATTTTACTGTGGGCCACCCACCCTCACCAAAGAGCTTCGTCAGCTGGCATTGGATTTCTCGCACAACACATCCACCAAGTACGACTTTCATAAAGAAAATTTCTGATAACATGGAAATTATTGAGGAGAAAAGGAGAAGCCGTCATACGAGCTAGTCCTCCACCTTTATCAACCCCAAGATGATTCCAGCTTATACATACACTGTCTTGTTGATAACCTATATAATATGTTTCAATCTATGGTTGTAATGGCTTTGTCGAAGTTAGACTCGGGACAAAAGGTTAAGTTGCAAGTTGGCCACCACTTACAAAAGCTGTGGTTGGGTGGCTCGGTCAATGTGTCAGCGTGTCATCATATCTATGTAAATTTAAGAAGAAATAGCAAAAGATATAAAAGCATAAAAGCATGAACTTCAATAACTTTTGTTGGGAATTATATTGATTTTCTATCTTCCTTATAATTTAGGGTTGCGATTCGATGCAATAACACGATTATGAATACACCCAATACTTCTAATTTTTTTAGCACAAACATAACCCACTTATTTTTTCATTGACATGATAGGATATGAATAATGGATAACCTCAAAATATATCACTTATTATACGGATTGACAAGATACGATAAGACATAAATAACATATTTATGAAACGATGTGAAACTAATAACCCGTCAGATTATTAAAGCGGGTCAATTTTGAGTTTGAGGTTAACACACGACATGACACAATTTGGTGTCAATTTTGTCAACATGAACATAACACAAATTTAAAAATGGATTGATCCGATCACCAATTTTTTGTATCATGTTGAAAATTGCTACGAGTATAGTAAACAAATATTGGGCAGCAATCAAGGGAGTCTAAAATGGAGAAAACTATCATACACACATCCATACGTCTAAGTGCCTCTTTAGATTCTCTCTTTTTTAAGCTAAAAATTACTTATAAGCATAAGCTAGGCCAAACAGGTTTGAGAAAAGCTCTTATAACGGAAAAACTCTCTTTTTTATAACAAAAAAAACTAAAAACTAAAAGCTCATAGGAGGAATTTTTTTCAAGCTCTTATCTCTTTTTCTTGAATTGTATGTTTTTTTTTAAAATGAAGAGTGATAAAGATAGAGAGAGATAATTTTCTTGAAATATGTGCTTTTAAGTAATTTTTAAACAAATTTTTTTATGTAATTTCCAAACAGCTTTTAGCTTCGTTTTTTAAGCTATTTTTTTAACTTTAGCTTATAAGTAGCTTCTAGCTTAAAAATAAGAGGATCCAAACAGACTCTAAGCAACAAATTCATAACAAATGAACCTGACACTGTCTCAACTCAAAATCTTAAAATATCTAATTTGTGAATAATTTAACTTATATTCTTAACTCATTCCTTTACGATGGGAAGCTTTATCACTCGTACTTAAATAAAATAAAAAACATTATCCGAAGCTTATCTCTAAAGAGTAAAGAGTAGGCATGTCACTTTCCGCTTAATCCTTTTTGACAGCATTACTAAAAAGAGGGAATGTATAATAACTTTTTGTCTTATTGTAATTGTTACACTGTACTAGTATTTGAACTATAACATTAGAATGAATAAAGGTATTAAGTTACTATATAAAAAAAGTATTAAGTTAGCGTCTAATATTACATCATAATCCTAATATCCTATTAGTGAAATATATAATTTCCCTCCTTTCATTTCAATAGTACCGGCCACGTGATATGTGCTATTGCTTTCAGTTTGAGCAGAATTTTAAAAAGGATTTTGTGGTATATCCACCATAATCTTTAAAATTTACTTTTATATTAGTTTGAAAAAATAAAAGTACAAAAAATGTTTTAAAATGTGTGTTTTAGTTATTTTATTAAAAAAATATGTAATAATAATGCAATGAGAAAAGTATATAAACAACATTATGGTTCTTAAAAATCCTTTTGTTTCGTCTTCCCAATTGTTGAACAACTCAAATTGAATTTATATAAAAATATATAAATAGAAGTAATATGAGAACCAAAGTAATTAGACTTAGTGATTAGTATTTCACTCCCTTCCTTTAAGTGTCAATTTTAAATACTAAGAGTGCAATTATGGTGGGATATTTTGTCAAAATAATTTGGTCTTAGTGAAATTTTTCAAAAATCAATTCAACTAGAAAATCGGTATGGGCTTAATATCGGTTGAACTCAAATTTTGACTGAGTTATATACTTAACCAGTTAATTGATTGAACTAGACCAATTAATGATATGGTTCCCAGTTCTACCCATGCCATTAGCAGGTCGAACCAATTTTAATAACACTGATTTCTCTATCAGGTGAAGCTCTAAGCCATGCTGGGCACTAGACTGACATTTTAGGTATTCAGTTTAGTTTTCATGTTTCTATTTTATAATAATTATTTTATTATTTTAAATTTTGTGAAAGAAATGATAAAAACAATTTATTCTTTTTTTGCAAATTTTAAAAATAAAAATAAGATGATGTTTTAGTAATTATAATAAAAATATTAACTAAAAATAAAACTAAACCAGATATTTTCTAAGGGTGCATTTCATTTATAATTTTATTTTCAATTGATATATTTTCATTTATAATTACAATATCATCATCTTATTTTCATTTTATTTTATTATTTGTATTATTTTCTTTAAAAAAATCAAAATAGCATTTTTATAAATATTAATAAAACATCAACTAAAAATAAAAAAATCAAAATAAAATTATAAATAAAAACTTTTATTTTTTTATTTATGGTCAATACCAACCAACATTTAAAATATGATTGAACAATAATTTCGTTTGCTGTAGCGTCTATTATGTACAATACCCCCCTTGAATTATAAAACTCATGCATCATGAATTCCAATCCATTTCACTTTTAATGATTTTAAATTTTGTTGTAAAATTGAGTTTCAACTTGATTCACAAAGAGAGAAATCTAAGTATATCGGGAAAAGTCATCAACTATCATGTATTGAAGGAAATGCAAAAGGACCTCAAATATGTACATGTACCTAAAAATTTTAGTTAGTTATTTCTAATATGTAGAACTTCGACTATTCCTTTTACTCTCACTTCTATATCCCAGTCAAGTCTTTTTTTCTCTATCCCCAATATCCCTATTTCTCCTTTTGTATACTGGTAAGCTTTTTAAACGCAAATAAACAGAAATTTTTAAGCATTTTCACACTTATGGCCCCTTCGAAAACATGTTTCGTGATTAGGTGACTCATGTAGAAAAATCAACTATAGCACAATAAAGTGAGGTAGAATATTTATACTATTAATTTTTTCTCCTACCATTACACTATCACTTTAATCATTATTGGATTCAAAAGTTATTTTTCTTTTCTCTCTCCTCATTAAACTTTTCCTTTAATTTAATAGTGATTAAAATTGTAGTAAAAAAAAATTAATAGTATAAGGGCCTGTTTGGATCACTTGATAAAGAAGATTATCATATCCTACTTTTATCTCTTATTTGATGGGTCAATAGGATATGAATAGCTTATCCTATTGTCTCATTTTATCTTATTCAATACATGAGCTAGTTTAGGATTCAGCAGGATAGGATACCACTATCTAATATATTTGTATTTATTACATTATATATTTTTTTTTTTTTTTTTTTTATCAGATTGTTAATCATGTGCTCATCAAACACAAGACATAATACAGACTTATCAGCCCCATATTATATCTTACCCTTATTATCCCCATATCATATCTTACATTTATCCTATCCTCTCCACGAAACTATTCCTCATCTTAACTTTCATAAAAAAAAAAAAAAAAAAAATGGGAAAAGAAATACACTCACCTTATCGACTTTTGAAGAATAGTTTTCGTGAAACACGTGGGGTTGCCTTCTTTTCATTTATGTTTCCTTTTCTGCCTCTGGAAATTTGGTTTCATTAACTGGCTGCCGACCAAGCCTTGTTCTGTACCTTGAGTTGGCTGGAATGGTATAAGAGGCATTTTTGTGGAAACTCTTGTATTTTTCATGCAACTTGCATTTGTAGCAGGAGATGCCGTCTTTGCTTTTAACGGCCTCGGAACCTCCAATCTCTCCAAAATCCTTGAAGTTTCCCTGTCTAGCTGCCTATTACCATCTCGTGGTGATGCACTTGATTGATCAAACTTGGCTTTGGACATACAAGATGGAGAGTACAACTTGGGGTCTTCGTTTACAACCAATTGCTTCCATTCTTCCGTAATACAGGCCATGGTTTTGTCGTCTTGATCCGTAATATCCAACGGCAAAGTTTCTTCATCCACAACTATGACATCAATGGCTGATTCTGCTCTCCCAATCACCTCCGGCGAAGGTTGTTGACTAGAGCTTAGTTGAGAAGATGCACCTTCCAATTTAGAAGATACTGACCTACAATATAATATCATCATTATTTATGAATAAACAGAAGACTTTATTAACCAAAAAAAAAAAAAACATATAGAAGACTTTGAATGTTCAGCTAACTAACTGGTTCTACAATGATTCATTTAGAACAACAAACCACACAGAAAAGCAGTCTTGAGTTAAATTATAGGTCATCTTTTTCTTCAGAAGAATTAAATGTAAGAATTCTCAGCTGAAGTAAATGTTCATCCACAAAAACAAGAAGTAAGTTGCCATATCTGGCAGCATCTGTTCAGAAGGGCTGGCCGTTAACAACTCTTATTATTTTTGCTTCTTTTAAAAGAAAAACAAAAAATCATTGTTTTGAGAGGTTATTCATGTCCAAGCGTGTGTTTAAGTTCATGGATTGTCACACGTCAACCTGGATGTAGAAACTCACCCCAATTGTAAGCTTTCTTTGACAAGCAAATTTAGTTTTTGATGAAAGCCTCTTTCATGCAGCAATGGATCATAGTCTGTTAGATCGATCTGCAAGCAAATTTTGGTTTCAAAATTCCAAAATGCTAGGAAGTTATTCACATTTGTAAACATTTATATGATTCAATTCAAATTCAAAATCTAAAATTTGGTAACAGAACTTGTTTATGATTCTGCAGAAGTTTGTGAATTAATTCAGTAACAGACCACTTCTCAGTCCCACTATTTGAAAACTTTAGAAACTGAACAAACAAAATTTTCTCAGATAAATTCAAATATGTAGAACTTCTCGCACATTTAAGAGGAAACTAGAGTAAAATTTCATGCATGAGGGGCATATTTATTCTCCACAAATGATCCTCACAAAAATAATGCCAACATAAAATTTCATTTGTCTCCACCAGTCTGTCGTTGGAGGGGGAAAAAACAGAAGAAAGATAGTCAGGAAAATGTTTAAATGAAACCTTTAGCAAACAGGCTTGAACAGAGTTCTCAATTTCCTTATTGACTGATGAATCAACTAATCGATTGTCAGGAAATCCTAGGACTTCTTCTGCCCCTGCAAGGCGCTGCATGGATATCGATTACACTCACAATCAAGAGTGATTATTCACCATCAAGATATACAATCCATAATACACAAACTACACATTATACTGCAGAGGAATGGAACTGGCAAGGTTACTGTTCTTCTACTGTGTGAATGTGCAGAGAATAAGAGGGATAAAGAGCAATAAAGGGCTAGTTCTCACCCTCATAAGCATTGGTCCATTATCGGATGGCTGCAGAATATAATAGCAATCATAAGGAGCCTCTGCCATTGTTTCTAAATCACAATTTGAAGAGCATAGCAAACCTTGTTCCATTGAATGTAGAACACTAGAAAGGCCTTGAAAAACTGCCAAATTGTAGCAATGATGGAAGAAACATAAACTTTGTGAAGATTATTAAATGGAAACTATTCAGAGTAACGATGACACTGTTAAATACAATTCCAAAGGGGGAGCAGTGTTTTCTACACACGTTGAGCATTCACGTCTGACTGATCAGCATCATCTGAAGTGGTTTCGGTCACATGATAAGGTGATGGAAGCACAACAAAGGAAGCCCCCATTATAAGACCTGCATAAAAATTTAAAATGCAGAAACCAAATTTCTTTATGGTGAAAAGATGGCGAAACAACACAAAGGAGTTTGGAATGAGATACTAGCTTAATCAGTCACTCTATTCCATCATAAAAGAGGAACAAAATTGGTGCGAAATACACTTTAAAAGATTGAAGCGAAAAGAAGAAAAGGAGGAAGTGAAAGAAAGAAGATGTTCTATTTCTCTACAGTAGGTTATTATTGTAATGCTAGATAGATCAATTTGATTGTGCAATCACACAATTAAGCTACAGTTCCTACAGTTGGCATTAAACTCCCCAAGTGAATGTTGCAGTTTAATGGAAATGAAAAAAAATCAAATCCTTGTTGCATAATGCTATGAACTAAAGTTATAAATGAAAGCCCTAAGCAAATACATACCTTCATCAAGAGAAGCCAAGTTTATCCTCTCAGCAACAGTTATGTTAATTGGCGAAGTAATTTGCAGGAGCTTCAGAGAATTATGGAATGAGGGGAGAAACAGAATAGTTTTATCCCCAACTTGAACAGAATTTTCAATAACATCACATGTTTCCAGATTGCAGCCAGTGACTGGACAAGAAAGTTTGTGGAAATTTTTTTCAGCATCCTCAAAAGGAATGCCATGACATCTGCATGTCTGTACAATTCCAATAATTAATGTTCATTTTCCATCAAATGAGTGGAACTGAAATTAAAATGAAAGAAAAATATATCTCCCGTAGATACTAGATTGCAAGAGATGTCATGATTAATGATGTAAAGGGCATTGGAAGGCAGAATTATTTTGGAATTAGTTCAGCCATGAAAATAATCAATAAAAGCTGGGGATTTAGAAAATGAAACTATTTTGCATGACTACATTGTTGTCTATGTTTCTTATGTTCCAGCTAAGGTTTATCTAGTGTTGTGATGTAGGTCTACTTGATGTTATTGAAGGTTATACATGACTTATCTCATCAAACTGCCTAGTGTAAAACTATTTATTCTTTCAAAACATGGATAGCGTCTCCGGTTTGCTTCTGGGTTTATGGATGTCAAAACCAAAATCTAGCCTAGTAGCTGATCGCTATATGCAATAGCTTTAGTGTAATATATTCATTAGAATATTGTTGTTAACTCTGCAAAATGTTTCAGCAATGATTCAACACCAAATCTCAACCTAAAACCTTAAGGTGTTAGATTTATGGGTCCTTCCGCTTATATGGTCCTCACTTAATCCATTTTTAATCCATTTGGGACTTCACCAACACTTGAATTTCCAATGTTCTCCCCCTCGAGTTTGAGTCTCAAGTCTCAAGCCCACATTCGCTCCCCCTCAAGGGAAAGCTTCTTCGAGCATTCATGGGATTACATCAAGTCATTGGCTTCATAAAATGCATGGGTTTGGAAGGTTCACAAACCCAAACACCAAACACCATCTCCAAATACTCAGTTCACACAAGTCAATTTACCATTGGTTCTAATACTATTGTTGGGCAGGCTAGGGGGAGCCCATAGCAGGGGAATACCATTGATGGACTAAGCTACATCAACCACAACATGTGGGCCTAATATTACGTCTCAACCTAAAACCTTAAGGAGTTAGATTTATGAGTCCTGTATATGACATTCAAAATTGACAAAAAACCATACTCTATATGACAGTCTAAAGCTCTTTAAAGAGTAACATACTACAATATGGAGAACATCAGCAGCCTAGAAGTAAGTCCCGTGACCAAACCATGGATTTGTCACCTTTTGAAAAGGAAGTAGGTTAAAATGGCTATTCTCAAAACGGGTAATCCATTCGGGCGCATTCCTTTGGTGCTTGTTAGTAATTTAGTAAATGAGTACATGTGATTCTAATCTAAACAACCAACACAAATATCTTATTTCTCAATTAAAAAAACAAAATTATGTGTCTGCCAAAATTGGTGAAGTGATTAGTCAATATGGATTTGAAAAACTATTACCTGACATTCACTGAAGCTGTTGGTTATTCGATTAATTGGTGCAAACAGGTCGCAGAATATATGGTTCACAGAATCTAGCAGATCGTCCTTGAAAATGAGACGAGCTAGCAGCGGCTCCTCCATGTCATCTTTCAAAACCTCCAGCCATCTTTTAACCAGGCTGTGGAATACTCTGAAATCTGCAATTTTTTACACGCTTCCCATTAACTTATTAGGTCCAAATTTAGGAAAATAGCTCATTTATTGCAAGAGAGATTTTCCTTTTCTTTATTTTTGTCAACGCCAAATTTCAAATTCTATACGAAATTAATTTTGGTCACTACACATTGCGAGAGTACTTAACCTGGGATATAGGTCTGAACTGAGCAATTATCAAGATGAGAAATGCAACGACGAAATTTGTTGATGTTTTCACACGTATTAGTCAGATGGCTTGACTTTTGCTGAAATACAGCAAAATCAACCGAAACGCATTTATCTGCAGCGTCCTTTTGGGGCAAGAAAAAAAAATAAAAAAAATAAGTAGTCTAAGTTTTTGGACAAAAGTAAAGTTTATTATACAACATCAAAGCATAAAATCCATGTCATGAATACACTGACTCACCATGAGGCTCTTTTGCATTGTAGAGTCCACATCTTCAGGCAAGGTCGAAGTTATGACTATTACTTTCTTCTCAATATCTTTACCTTGCCACGAATACAATACTCGTTCATTCAAAACACTTGAAATCATTACATCTGAAGATTAACCATCAAAGCAGTCAATGAATGTTCTCTAACAGAAAGGGAAAATACATGTCTTCAGAGAGAGAGAGAGAGAGAGAGAGCACCGGAAATGTTATCAATATCAGGCAGAAAGGCATCGGAGGGCAAATTGTTAACAGCGTGGTGGAAATCGCGTAGGTTGAAGTTTCCGGTGGGACTGTACGCGATTATCAACTACATTACCAGTAGATTCACTCTCTGTCACTCACTCGTAGGGGTCATTATACAACCATGTCTCGTGCATTTCGAATTTCTCAATCAAATCATGAATTGGAAAGATAAAAAAAAAAAAAAAGGTGAACGGTGCTAAAACAGTACCTCGTCAGAAAAAGATAAGCGATTCTTGATGACGTAGCACAAACCAATCTTATCACCGAGAGTGGCTGATTTGCACCCTGGCGACGAGGACGAACTTGAAATGGCATAGAAATTAGCGAGTTGAAGCAGCGACTGAAAATTACGACGCGAACATTCAGAAATCGGAGATCTACTAGAAATTATGCTATTGCACGGGTGCTTTGGTGAGTAGTGTAGTGTTCAGAAAAGAAAGCGCTAGAAATTGAGATAATAGAGGAAACGAAGTTTATTGTGTAGACCTCAAAGCTCTGTACCTGGTTTAAATGTCTTAGCAATGGAGGTGCCAAGCTTCGCAGATCCAGAACGAAACATAGCTGAACCATTTCGCTTCTTCTACGATCTCTGTGTCTCAGTTTTGGCGCGAAACATAACCAAAAGCCTACACGAGAGATTTGAATTTGAAGTGTCTATATTCCCATTTTCACCCTTGACGTTCAGTAAGAACTAAGAAGTAAGAAGCATGGTTGCTAGTTGACACTAGCGGTGAAAGTGGGCAGGATCCAACTCAATTCAAACCATAGTTTGGTTTAACATGTTATTTTTTAGTTTTTTTTTTTTTTTTTTTTTAAAGTAGATATAAATTTATAATGTTAGTATTTTACCATGACTTTTTTTGGATACCTAGCTTGCCCTACCGGCCTACCCAATATGGGATGACTTTAACTCCATGTCATGGGATAGGGCGAGTGCGCGTTTTAGACTCAACCCACTCTTCCCGTTACAGCCTCCACTTCTAAACTAAAGATTATATTTATTCTATATTGCATAAGAAAAGTTAATTTTCTACACGTATAAAAAAGAGGTGAATTTTACTTTAATTTTTTTTTTCTTTTTTTATTTGTGAATTTTACTTATAATTTTATTTTTATTATATAAGATAATTTTTTTCTTACAGCATAAGAAAATTATCTCTCTTTAATGAAATATCATGATTATTTTAAGTATTAATAAAGTCAATTACATTAACTTATACTTCAATAGTTAATATTTTTTTTTACATATTATTTAGTTTATGAGTTTGTTTTTATGCAGTTATCTGCAGTAAGCCCAATATGACGTCGTTTTGGGACGAAAATCATGGTATTTTTATAATTTTAATTTATTTTAGGATTATAATAGTATTTATATTTATAATTTTTTAATATTTCAATACCAAAACGATATCGTTTTGGGAATAAATACAGATAACTTATCTGCATTAATTGCAGAAATATTTTTCCCTTTAGTTTATATAAGATAATCGATTTTTTTAATATTATAATTAATTATTTTATAAATATGATTTTAAATATTCACAAACGTGGACACAAGTTCAGGTTTTAATATGTAAGACTCAAAGCAGAGTCGAGTTAGCAAAATAATATACTATTACCAGGCCTACAAACAGTTGCTTTCGGGTTTATAATTACCGTCAAATTTCCATTTTTCAAAAGAAGTGAAAATAATTCCTTTTTTTTATTTTACTGTTATAAAAACGATTTCTCATTGATTGGGTGTGGGGGGGAACTGGAGGAAGACAAAAAGTGGAAGACTGAAATTTCAGAAAAGAGTCATTCGCAGGAAACTTTTTTTTTAGTTTACAAGATCATGTTGTAAGGTTCTTGATAAGAATTCTTCTTAGATTTGTAATGCTGATATGCTATATATTGGTAAGCTACACCGAAACTTAAAATTATCATTTGATGACAGGGATGAAAGTTTAAAATAATAATATAAAAACAAATAAATGTTTTTTAGCATAAGGATTAAAATCAAAAGTTGTTCAAAATATAGAGACAAAAAAATCACATGTACCATCAAATAGGCAAATAGCTGTCAGGTATGTTTTTAAAACTGTCTATATAATTATCGACGAGGGTTTTAAATTTATCTAAATAATTTCTTACAAGGCATTTAGACTTTTAGAGCATTGATAAGCAAATTACATTTTGATGGGAAGATAAATGTTTTGAGTCTAATAGATTCCGTCTCGAGAAAAGTATTATTTCCGAGAGTTTAAGAATATATATTATTAAAAAAGAAAGTATAATTAGTAATTATCTCCTTAAGCGAATTAGGATTGACCCAATTAATGTGATTGATCTATTGGCTTTATTTGATTAACATTTTCCTTAAATCTTGACGAGATTAGCATCCGGATTCGTGATATGTACAATAAATATTGTCCTTTAAGCTCGATGTAATTCTAGGAGACTTTTAAAGAAATAAATTTACACTATTGTCATTATCTTAATTAGAGAAATGAAATTTTTGGCTTTATTTAATTAATGTGGGCTATAGATTTTGACTTAGTAAATGTGAACACTTGATCCAAAAAGAATAATATCGACGAAGATTCGAATTAATTAGGTATTAATGTGACACTTTCTATGTTGTTTTAAACAAGTTACTTTAGGAAAAGAGGAACGTTATCCGATAAGAATACGAAATGCATTAATCGAATCATTCACATGACATAATGACTAATAATTATTTTTATTATTTTATACTAACTTATTGACCCATCGAATCAATTGAAATTTTGAAGTATGATCAACATACAGTAATATTTTTCTGGTACTCTATATATCTTGTTGGTAAGTTCTATGTTCTTAGGTAGAATTGCATCTACATATATTATATAAATTAAAATTGTTTCATTAGCTTTGTCAGATGACAGAAGTTCCATCACTTTATCCATACTGGCAATCCATGTTAGCAGGTAGCATATGTACCAATTATATTTTGGAAAATTGATTCTGTGTTTACTCTTAATGCTACTTCTTGAACTTTAATTGCAACGACAACAACTTATATAATTTTTTATTTATTTGAGTTGCAATCTTTTTATCTTTTGATTTTTCTAAAGGTATTTTCATATTTGATTTACTTATTATATTACATAATTCTACAAAATATACATGGAACTAATTTCGGCTTTTTGACCTTTTTGTCATTCATTCATTAATTAATAATTATTTTTGTCATTTTTAACTATTTAATCAATTAAATCTTCAAGTTAATCGATTACGAGAGGTAGATTGATAGATAGTTTCGAATAAGGAGCAAAATAATTATTAATTAATTAATAAAGAGTAAAAGAGTCAAAAAAAAAAGCCAACTAATTTCACCTCAACATAAATAAGAGCGTATGGGAGAGTCTTTCGCTCTCTCAATCATGCACTACAAGAAAAACGGTGTTTAGAAACGTTAATTGAACAAAAATGATGGAACGGAGGATATTATAACAAACACAAATGGCTAAGGTAAGGGTATGTTCGGTCTTTTCAGAATATAAAAGATTAGAATGTAGAAAGTCTCTTTATTTTATAACTAAGAAAAATCAGAAAACTCATCGAGGATTTTACTTAAATTTCCCATGTATTGATTTATGATTAAATTATTAATTAGTTACTAATAAAAAAAATTTGGATTCAAACTCAAGTTAGCAGTTGCAAAGAACAAATCGATTAAGTAAATTTACTTCTGTTAACTTAAGGGTATATATATTTTGGCTTAAATTATAGTAGAATTTCTTCTAAACGAGTTAATGTTAAAAAAACTGATCATAGAATAATTTATGTCAATATATTTATTGATATTTAGTAATAAATTTAGCAAGTGAGTGTAAAAAGATTTTTGTTTTAACGGTATGACGTGAAATTACCTATAAATATGAAATTATTAAAAAATATTAATTCTATAAGAAATTAACAAGTAGCTCGATAATTTTGTATTTCATTGAATGCAGGTAAGAAAGTCATTTGAATTCATTGTCATTACGCTTACTATTGTCAACCGAAAAAGCAACTTTAATATCACTTCAATAAAATTTCTTGAGAAATTCTTAGGATGTACTATAATTAAAAAATATATATTTATCTGTATGCCTGAAACGATATAGAATACTTTTATTTTTATTTTTCCTTGAAGTGTAGCCTTGAATTTATGAAATTGCTTTTAGGTTGTACTTTTCAGTTTTTGTCAATGTACTTGAGTGCTAACCAATCATTATAAATGTTGGCAAGAATCACTAGACTGATACCTTAAACATTTACTAAAATACAAGCATTTAACGACTTTCAAATTTATTTTTATTTTTTTTGGAATATGATATGTCATATGATAGTGCTTCTAATTCTAATTTTCTAGAATCAAAGAGGAGTAGTTGTTTTCATTGTTTAAAACCAAACAAAACAGAAAGTATTTCAGAAAAAAATACATTCAGCTCAAAATATTCTCTCCCCGGAAATATCAAACACATGATTTTAATTTCGTAGCCAAAAGAACCATTGACATCCAAAATAATATGCGCTTTCAATAAATATCTAAGAATTTTATTAATTTCATATCGTAAGAGAGTAATTTTTTACTATAATAAACATAATTACGTGTGAGGTCCAATTACTTATAAAAAATAAAAAAATAAAAATTAAGTTATACGAAAATTGATTGACGTGTAAAAAGGAGAGTTATTCTCCAATAAGATAGTTTTTGCCAATATAACACTATATGGAACTAATAAAACTCACAACATCATTTAGATTAGGGGAACCATTGTCTTTATAAATGTTTACAACATATACGATTTGGATATCAATAAAGAGTCATAGAGAGGATCATACACCTTACGCACCAGTCATGCATGAAAATATTTTCAGACTCCTAAACCTTGCGAGCTGCTTTGAAGCGGGAGAGCCAGCAAGACGTGATGTTCTTTGCTGAGGCGAATAAAACCCACCGGAGAAATTATCTCCTACAGAATTATATCTCCGATGACCAATTTGTGAACGATCATCCACCACCACTCTTTGTATTGAAGGTTCCTGCACGTAGCCACGGTCTTGAATTTGAGGGTAGAAATTGTTGTAGCTCAGAACAGCTCCTGATGAAAGACACTCATATTGCCTGCGAGTTTTGTGTTTCTTAATTGCTCTGTAAACCAGAGGCAGAAGACCCTCCATCTATTAATTATTCTTCTTGTGTCTTGATTCCTTTGTGAGGAAGAATTATTAGAGAAAATGTTGATTGGGGGGTTTTTTAAATGGAGAATTTTAGCCACGGACATGATGGGGTTAGGTATGTTTCGATTTTAAATATTTTTCTCTTTTTTTTTATATATATTTATGAGAATGAAATGTAACACATCAAAATGAGTTTGGAGACTAGGCAAGGCATGCCAATAGAACCATCCAAATGTTGTTTCAATGAGGAGGCTGCCGTAAGTTATATGAATATATCACAGCAAATTGACTTTTATGTAGGCCATCTGGAGATGACAGATTTCTGATGGAGACAGATAAACGAGTACCGATTTATTTTATTCCAGCCACTACACGCAAACGCCTCCACTGGCTGTGATCTGGATTATTAATTCAGCTGAACTTCCTGTGGGTGCTGTAAAGGACCATATGTATTGACTAACGTTAATGGTACCATTTTGGTACGCCAAATGATACACTTCATGTTTCATTTTATATAATAAGCAGTTGATTCCATTTTTCTCATTATATCCTTGTAAAAAAAAAAAACTATATATTAATAGTAGTATATAATTATAGGTTTTAAAGTGTCTACAATAAATATAGATAAGTTATCTACATTCATTCTCAAATCTACATCGTTTTGAGTTGAAAGATTAAAAAATTATAATGTGAAAGACTATTATAACCCTGAAACAAATTATAATTATAAAAATGACTTGATTTTCGATCCAAAAGGACGTAGTTTTTAGTTCAATATAGATAACTTTTTTTTATAAACAATATATAGATCACTTATCTACATTAACTGCAGAAAAAATAAACCCATAATTATAAGGGTAAAATTATTTTTTTTTCTCTCCGCCACCGACAATTTTTAAGGAGAAAGAAAGAAAAAGTAACTTTAATATTAGAGTAAATACCCTTTTTGGTCCTCAGCAAATTTCACGATGTCCCTAGCAAATAAAAAGGCTATTCGTGGTCCCTAAGAAATTCAAAATGGACCCATTTAGTTGAAATCGTGGTCCCTCATAAATTCAAAAAAGATCCATATTAGTCCCTCAAAAGGACTAAAATGGATCCACTTTAAATTTTTTAGGATCACGAAAAACCTTTTTATTTGCTAGGAACTAAAGCAAGCATATATCGTAAAATTTCCTGAGGACCGAAAATGGTATTTACTCTTAATATTATAACTATGTACTATTCTTAGTATATAGTTAATTTTTTTCTAGGAAAGATTTCATTTTCCTGCAACATAAGAGAATAATTTCTGATAAATAGTTAATGGGTAATATTTTTCTCTTTTCACATGACACAATTTTTTTCCTAGAGAGACACAAAAGTGGCCCATCAATTCTTTTATTTTTCTTTTATTTTAAAAATAGTGGACCTCAACATAATATTTGTTTTTCCCATAGTAGTTAATATATAAGAATATGAGGTGAATATTTCGTTTCATGTTTTATTTTATAAACCTAGGAATTTTTTTTTCTTTTCAGATAAGTGAGATTGATATTTTATTTTTGGAAAATAGACCTAAAGGCTAAATGTCCTTATTTACTTTGGAAATTGATATTTACTATCATTTATTACGTTTACCCTTTTTAATTTCTCACTATATTCTCATTCTATCCATCTCACAATTAATTTTAAATACTAAGCTAGGGCAAATCATAATAAATAATTATTATGTAAACAAGTTTTTTATAATTCATTGTGGAATGCAATTATTATACAAACTATAAAAAAGAAAATATCATAAAGAATTATGAAATATTTTATCTAAAATATTGACATACTTGGTCAAACCTTCAGCCTACTCTAATCGTGGTTTGAATTTAATTCTCAAGTTTCCCTCTTTGCTAAGAAGCATTAATATATCATCTAAATTTTTATGTAAAAATATATATTTTAAACTCCTTTTTAGCAATACTTTCTTAATGAGTTATATCTAGAATTTTATGAACCAAAAAAGTTATTTTTAAAAATATATATGAGAAGTATTTATATTATTTAAATTGAATTTGAATATATTCCATATTGGTTTCACGTGTCAAACAATTAATGGCTTGAAAAAAATTATTCATTTAAAAATTTACCAAACTACCGATTGAAAATGATGGTTCTATATAAGTAAATTACGTTCTATTCTGATTCCATTCCTAATAGAATCATTATAAACTTGACATAAGAGTAATTGCATTATGCAGCACTAGAGAGGGCAACTACTTGGTTTAGATGAGCCTGAAAAAATTAATATTTTACAGTATGTTCCTTGTATATATGAAATCTCTTAGTTATATGCTTTTATAATAAGATCCTTGTGTGGAATTCTTATCTTCTTTTATAGTTATAAAAAGGAATGATGTATCAAGGTAAGAAATCGACTACGACTCTTTCCTAAGAAGCAAAGTTTAGAAGTCCAGTTCACCAAAACAAAAATAAAAAAATTTAGAAGTCCTTATCTGCTTTCATAATTACAAAATGATTTTGCAACTAGTTCCTTGTTTGGGATTCTTCTGCCTTTGTTCTTTATTCGGGATAGAAAGGATTTTGAATCTTTGCCAGGATCCTACATGCTATGCTTTTATTGATTTCATTTCCCTCAATTTATTTTTTATTATTTTTTTGGTAGACCATTTCCCTCAATTTAAAAGGGACTGTTTGTCCATCAAAAAAAAAAAAGGGGGACTGTTTCCGGTTTGAGTTGAGAAATATAATAAGTTTGTATTTATTTATTTAAGAGATTAATGTTTCTAATTTTGTAAGAGATAATTTTATTTTCTATACACATATAAAAATGTATGGAACCATGTGAAGAGAAAAAAAAAAAATATAAATCATATACACTTTTATATATGTTATCTTCTACATCATTAAAAAAATTAAACCCTTTATTTAAAGGCTAAAGACGAGATTATTACAATCTCGAAAAAAGAGACGAACAAACAAAACTTAAATGCGAACTGTTAATTGTTATTATTCTCATTTAATTTTGTTTTACATGACTTTTGAGAATCACTTTCATTTTTATAATGTTATGTTTAAAATTTATTTAATTTTACATTATGAAAATAAATTAATTGTTTTGGATGAGCTTTTCAACTATAATTTTTTGAAAAAAATTTCTGTGAACATCAATTTTTTAAATAAATTATGAGTTTGTTTTTTCTGCAGATAAGTTATCTACAGTAAATTCAATACGACGTCGTTTTGAGGTCGAAATCATGGTGTTTTTATAATTTTAATTTATTTCAGAGTTATAATAGTTTTTATATTATAATTTTTTAGGATTTCAACATCAAAACAATGTCGTTTTGAAAATAAATACAGATAACTTATTTACAACTGTAATTTTTTTTTCCATAAACTATATTAAAATCTAAAAGAAACCACATATACCAAAAAAAAAATCTAAAAGAAACCAATAGAAATCGTTGCGTATAAAGAAAGAGCTTCTGTTGAAAAAGCAAACCAACTTTATAATTGTACGATTGTTCTTATCGCTATCTTTAGAAATAGTAAAGTGGACGGTCCGTTTCGTTCCGCCATTAATCTGTCAAAAAATAAATTAATTTGTCTCTCTTCATTTTTGAAAATGGATTAAAAATTTGGTTTAGCCAGTATTATTTGGCGGGCGAGACGGGTGGCCCGAATCTATTTTACACTGACCTGTCTCGACATGTTCCTCCGAGCTATCAACCCGTTAAAAAAGAGTCTGTCCCTCCCTGCCTCGCTTTTGAGAGTGAGTTGTAAAACTCAGCCCGTTTTGTTTGGTGAGTGGGGTGGGTCAACCTGCTGAGCCAAACCCGTTTTATCGACCTCAACTGTGGTTTTGTTTTACTGAATTCAAGACATGAGAGCTGAGCAGGTTGAGAGTATGTGCTTATCCTCTCTAGTATTAATTTTTGGAAGAGTTTAAAGCTTTAATCTTGACTCGCCTCGAACTTTGGATTAGTCCATATGAAACCTATAAGATTATTAGGGGAATAATTTCTATAAAAAAAAAAAAATTAACTACGAGACAAAAAACGATGTTGCTAATTTAACTTGTCATAAAAAAGTTATTACGAGACATGTGATTTACCTCAAGATTTACCTTGATAAATATAGAAGTCCTTATAAATACATATTACTTAATATTCATAATGTAATATCCAGGTGCAAAGCTAGACTACATGAAAATTATAGTTTTGGAAGGCTATTTTAAATGAAAAAATAAAAATAAAAGGGAAAAAGAAGTATCCTTTTGAATGACACAAGTTTGTGTCATTTTAGGTGTTTTACACAAAGTACGACCGGTCGTACATTGTGTAAAATCAAAAAGTTGTTTTTTTTCTCTCTCCAGTCACATCGCTGACGTGTAAAGTGAAAAAAAAATAACTTTTCAGAATTACACACCAGTCGTACTCTGTGTAAATCACTAAAAGGAGACAACTTGTGTTCTTTTAAATGACACACACTAAACCCAAAATAAAATATACATAAAATGTCTTTGAAAGAGAAGGGCGGGCGAGAGCATCCCTAAGCTAACATTACACGCCGATAAATCTAAATACAGACAATAGATATAAATATTAATAGAATTTATCTATATTTAGATAAAATTACAATGTCCAATTATAATAAAGATTTATACAATAATGATTTGAAATAATAAGGGGGGAGTATTTGATTGAGATTTTAAAGGATTTAAATGGATTATGTTTGTGCAAAAAAAAATGTTGATATTTAATTAAGATTTTAAAGAATTGAAAAAAAAAATCACGTGATATTCAATTAGGATTTTAAAAGAATATTTTAGAATCCATTTAAATTTAGTGATATTCAATCAGGATTTTAAATAAAGAAAAAATAATCTTATGATTTTAAAAAACCTGATGATTTTTGTGAATTTTGTGAGACAAATAATATTTTAACTTTTTATATCTTATCAAAATGCAAAAAATCTTAATTTAAAAAAAAATCATTATTTTATT